AAACAGCTAGATAAGTTTATTTTAGTTATTTCCATAGCATAATGTGATATGAAATTTTGTTATGGGATAATGCGACTGACATTAAAACTACTTGTTTCAGCAATCAGTACAAAACAAAAAATACAGCGCACAACTAAATGTATGACAATCTATTGCATATGTATACCTGTGTTTCAAAAGTAATATATTCTTTCTGATTCTGATTCTACTGCACTGACTATTTAGCAGTACCGTGCCGTACTGTACCGTTACAACCTATTAAAGGCCTCCCCCTTAGATTGCTTTACAGGGGAGATATTTGCCATAGTTGTGACGCTTACCACGTTCATTGCTTTTGTTGTTTATTGAGCAGTATTTGCCCCTTTTTAATTATTTGTATAATTCTCCATTAATTATTCTTCGATTGTCACTCAATATTTTATTATATATATAATATTTTATTGTATATGTCAGAAGATCCGTGAATATGCGTTTTAACATAATTACAAATGACTAAAGCAATTAATCAACTAAGCTGTCTTACTATTACCAATGTTAACATTAACCGACTTAAAAGGCAATTAATAAAATATTACGGAGTAAATAAAACTATATCAAAGTTAGTAATAATAATTTCATACGTGGTAGAACCATGCTGCAGCTATATTAACAGTATAGTTGTTGCACGAATGGGTCGGCTCGACCGGGGAAGGACCACGTTCTCACAGAATACCAGCGTAAAATAGCAACTTAAAGTTGCTGTGTTTCGTATGGTGAATGTAAAAAACTGGAGACTCTTTTTACTGGAAACGAGGCATTCCATCTTAGTCTTCACGGGTGACAACGTATCTGCATTTTGATTCGCAAACGTGGGTAGATGTAGATGTCTATGGGCCACAGCAACCACTTACCATCAGGTGGACTGTATGCTCGTTTGTCACCCTTATACTATAAAAAAGTACACTGGTTTAACATCAATAATTTGCTTTTTAAAGGCAATAAAACGAAATTTATTAAATTTACAACACCAAATGTTAAACATGTAAAAATCAGTGTGCTTTTGTAAGCCCAGTGTCCATTAACCCTTTCACGTACAAAACTGATGTCTAAAAATTTTTATATTAATGACTGGTTTAGGTTGTGTTTTGAGAGATATTATAAGCTTATTTCTGGTAAAAATTATAAAAGAATCAGCAGACTATCCTGTAATAGTTGGGACAAATATGTCCCAGTATGCGTTAACTGGCGACAATTAATGGATTTTATAGAGTTTGTAAATTTAGGTACTATACAGATTAATAGAAAAATAACAACAGCTTTTAGTTAAAAAATGTTTCATTATATGTATACTTATTTATGAAACTCAACAAAACAATTTCTTTTTGCTGTGAAGCATAAATTCACATTACATAAATCACACACATTGTTAGTGCGATTCCCAACACCGATTTTAGCACATTGCACACATCTTTTACGTGAGGATTCTTTCTTCATCACGTGGGATGGTAAGGATCGCTTGTGTCCTATATTTTGGATTCGTTTCTTTGTCATAAAGGTTGACGGTAAAGCATGCTTCCTTATGGAAAATGTCCCGATCATCGTCCTCGCCACAGCTTGACGATATTCTAGCGATGAAAGTAAACAACCTTCGATTAGATGTTCTCCGTGCAGTTTTTTATAAATTATATACGAATTATTTATTGCTATGTCTAGTAAGTCAAAAAAAAAACCGAAGGTAATATTTTATTTTAGATTTTCTGTCAATTTCATAGGTCACTTTTTTTATCCATTAGATCTACTCCTCCCATATTTTTATTACATTTACAAACAATATCGGGACATGTAACCTCTAAACATTGTGCCGAACCTACTTGTTTGCGTTTTACCTTTTGAGTAGGTATTGGTGACAATAAATTGGTGAGGAGATGCACCGCTTTATTGTCCATCCACTTGATGAAAGAAATTCCCTCGAAACTGGTTGTATAGATATCGCCTCCCTTCATATCTTTATCTAATGGTAAATGTTTCGGAGTATGTTAACGCTGAGTGCGGACAGTGCCGCAAGATTTAATATTTTGCTTGGCTAAGTTGTATTGCAACAGAGGAGAATTGAAAAAGTTGTCAATGTAAACCTCGCATCCTAGTCCAATCAAAGGTTTTGTGAGATCTAGTACGACAGTCTCTCCTAGTCCTATTTCTGGTCCCCATCTTTTTTTACCCGTGTATAAGTCAAACTGGAATAAATATCCTTTTTTAGAATCGGCGCGGCACCACATTTTGAAACCTCTCTTCTCAGGTTTATTTTGCATTTATTGCTTCATGATGTTATGATCTTTGAACTTCACCATGTGTTCATCTATAGACTGGGTAATGGTATTATTCATGGCCGATTGAAAACATGAATTGAAGTGATTCATCACTCTTCGAATTTTATAAGCTCTATCGAAATCTGCCGATGTGGGTGGTGGTTGCTCCGAGTTATTGCAAAATTGTAAATTTCTTCTTATTTCTTCGAATCTCGATAAAGGCATAACTGTGGCTAAATAAGGCACACCCATATCAGGTTCAGTAGACCAGTAGTTTCTGAGAGTAGGTAACACATGATAACCCATAACATAATTCATACCGACAAAAGTTGTCATTTCTTGAAGGTTTGTAGTGAAAACTGAACCATTGTTATAAGCATAGCGTAAGGACTCCGGTAATATAATTTCTTCAATCAACGCCTTAATATTGGTAGTTGCCTCAAAAATGTCTATTGGTTTCAGAGATTCTGACTGTTGCAGTATGTTTACCTTACCAAAGTCATAATCAGTCTCAGAAAATAGATAAGGCTGATAAGTGTTCTTGTTCCACTTGAAATCCGGTACTGCACCACTCAATGGCGAATCAGGAGATGATGAAGGGCCAGGAGTTAGATCTGGTTTTAGGGTGGAATCTGGTGCACCTGCGGACTCAATTCTAACTTCAGATACTCCAGCTTCCATATCCTGGAGAATTAACGCCTGGTCTTCTTCGTCCAAGATGAGTGCATCTTCATCATCACTATTATCAGCCATGAGATACTCCTCTACTTCTTTTTCATTTAAATGAAATATTCTAGTACCCCTCCGAGCCTAAAAGAATAATAAATTGTATAAATATACTATAATTATTGAATAAGGAACATAATATATAATATTCGGAATGTCAGAAGGTGTTGACCTTTCATGCATAATGGGACATCCATGTCCCTACTAATATATCTTGTATTTTCATTGCTTTTATACGTAACATTACAATAAATAATAATAAATTCATAATGACTACTTACCATTCTACCACAATCACACAAAAATAATTAAAACTGCAAAAACTATATTTTAATTAACTTTTGAAAATTATTTTTAGCGCGCCAAAACATCCAAAAGTAATAAGGAAATATTTGTTACTTTTTTTACGCGCCGCGCTACCAGCCAAAAAAAATTAAAAGTTTCGTTCAAAAACAATTGATAAACACTACTGTTTTGTTTTTAATTATTGACTATATCAGTAAAAATGTAAGTTAAAATTTAGGGATACCGGTGTCCCATTTACATCAAAGGGTTAAATGGAGAGGACCTGAGTCTTGTCGAATTCACTTTTTTGCTCGGAATTACAGTTGACGTGAAGCTTCAATGGGGCCCTCATATAATTAAACTAGCTAGCAAAGTTAGTTCTGCAGCATATACTGTAAAACGATTAGAGGTCTTACATGTGCTGAAACAGCTAGATTAGTTTATTTTTGTTATTTCTATACCATAATGTAATAGGAAATCTTGTTATGGGATAATGCGACTGACGTTGAAACTATCTTTGTTTTGCAGAAGAGAGCTATACGAGTAATTTGAGTAATTTATAACCTAAGTTCGAAGGAATCCCTTAGAGAAAAAAATTAAAGAAATATATATATATAAACTTTGGTTTTTCAATATATTTAAAAAAAATTAAAAAAAATTAAATTAAAAAAAAGTTACTAAAACTGAATGACTGTACACAAAAACAAAAATAGTTTTATAAAAAGTGACAAACATTCTGTAAATACTATGAACACGTACAAGTTAATTATACTATTTACTCGACTCCAAGGATTCAGTAATACCTTCATTCATATATATGTTTTTTAAAAGAAAAAAAAAGAAAAAATTTTACAACATAATCCTGACAAATATGCAGGCAGGTATCAAAACGTTTAAATATTTTATTAAAAACCCCTGGGAATAAGGTGATCGTTACTATGCTGTTTCTAATATCTTTATACCAATTGTATAAAATAATATATTTTAAATTCATTTAATTTTAAAATAGTCCCGCTAGTGCTGGTGCTGGATCTTGTCAAGACAGAAGTTATTCCGAACCAGTGGTAAAAGTAAAAATTACTTTTAATAAGAATTCTTTTAATATAGGTGTATTGAATAAAAGTATTCTATTATATTCTATTTTAATCAAACGCTTCGTTTCTTACTATACAGGGTTATTTTGCAATAACCGCCAAATTTGCAGAGAAGGTTCAGAATAAATAATATAGGCAAATGGTGAAGAAAAATTAATAAAGAAAAATCTCAATCATTCTGTCTTTTTATTTTTTAAACTATAAATGCGTGGTAATGTATTATTTTAACTGTTTTACTGCGCATCCACACATTCGTAAGGGTCAATTGGTAGGCAAAAACGTTGCCCATAAACCACATTAATTTTGACATAATTTTAAATAAAAGTAGAAGCCTTATTTACTCGTATATTCAAAAATTTCATAACGGTATATCATTATTTTTATATTTGAACTGAAGTTTCAAATTTGGCTACTCTTTGAAAAATAACCCTGTATACTTATTAAAAACACATTATTGTTTCCGAAACGTTCTACTTTATAATATTTTAATCTTACCTTTGTTTATAAATTCAAATTTCTAATAAAATATACAGATAACTTTTTATTACTTTCTAATTACTTAGCACTCGCATTTATCATGAATCGAATTTTGGACATAAAGTTTTCGTACCTGTCTCCAAAAGAAAATGTCAGCACAGCACATGTCTGGATACAAGAGATCACTGAGTGCGAAGTGTGGATGGGCGTTTATTTTAACTAAATGACAGTTTTAATTTTAAAACTGGTTTGACTGATGCTGATTTAACCCAGCGTCAATGACGTGAAAATAATTACGCAAACGATGAGAACGGGACGGTTATAATCCAAACGAAACCTCACATAAATATATCTAAATTAAATGTATATACCTAGTCAGGTCATAAATTCTGTCACATGTTTAATATAAAATAAATGAACAAGTTTATTCATTATGTAACCATTTATATACCAAAATAAACTTAACAAAACATAGATTCTTATGATACAAAAGTTTATTCAAAATGACCTACGTGATTTTGAATACAGGCCTTCAATCTGCGCGGCCAGTCGTCTATCGCAGCACGAACGAGGTCCATGTCAATATCGGCGGCTGCCTTAATCAAGGATGTCTTGAGTTACTCCAAATTGGGATGAGGCTTTAAGCACGCCTTTTGCTCCAAGTTTTGCCATGTCTTGTAATCTAACGGATTCAAATCTGGACTGGAGGAGGGCCAGTCTTCGTGCAGTCGATTTCACGCGCCGCCAGCCAGTCTTGTGTGCTCTTCGCTCTATGAGCTGGCGCCGAATCTTGTTAGAATACCCAGTGCCTGTTATTGAACATGGTATCAGAAACAGGTTCCACAAGGTTTGTCAGGAATGTATTTTGATACACAACTGCATTCGTTTTTACACCTTTCTCACAAAAAGATACCGAGGGCGACCACTTCTTGACCTGTCATCTACACTAGAATCTTCATTGTATCGTATGATAGTACGATAAATGAATCTTTTGGTTATATAAACACGTGGTAGAGCCATGCTGCAGCTATATTACTGGTATAGTTGTAGCACGAATGGGTCGGCTTGACCGAGGAAGGACCACGCTCTCACAGAATACCAGCGTTAAATAACAGCTTAATGCTGCTGTGTTTCGTATGGTGAGTGTAGAGAAACGGAGACCCTTTTTATTGGAAAAGAGGCATTCCATCTTAGTTCTCACGGGTGACAACGCATCTGCATTTTGATTCGTAATCGAGGATAGATGCAGATGTCTATGGGCCACAGCATCCACTTACCATCAGGTGGACTGTGTGCTCGTTTGTCACCCTTATCCTATAAAAAAAAATTCAAATTTTTCACTATATCAAAAATTCGATTTGGCGCGTAACCGCAACGATGCAACGCAATAACTGCAACACGGTGTTCTTTAAGCGTCCACTCCATATTTAAAAATGAGTAAAATTCTAAAAAGTATACAATTTTATTTTCATGAACAATTCGAAATTCGAATTCAATAAACTTTTTTGTGGCCAGCATTCTAAAAGAAAAGTTTTTACTGTGTGACAATACTTATGACCTGAATAGGTATATTATGTGTTCCTTTTTTAAGAGCGTGACACCACTGCGTTCAATTTGTTTTAATTATATTAGGTGCAACCCTTAAAACTTTTCAAAATACGTCAGTTCAAAAATCTTCCAGTTATCCAAGATAGTTTACATTGGAAGGCAAGAGATATGATGATGGCAAGTATTTGTTCAGGTTTTAAATATTGTTACTGTTTTTATTACACCATTATCAAGTAGCGAACTCTGTCTCATTATGTTTCTTGAGTACTCTAGTACGGTCATTATCCCGCATACATCACGTATTACTCTAGAAGTAGCCCTTAAACTCCTAAAATCACTTGATAAATCTAAGAAATTGTAAGCAATGGTATGTCCCTGTTGTTTTAGTTTCATATGCCGATAGCTTGTCATTGCCTACTTCAGAATGTATTGAATTTCCTCGTTAGATTCACTCATTTTGGCGGACAGAAAAACAATTGAAAAATGGCAGGAAAGTGTTTGTAAATTTTTCTTTTTCTTTTTTATCAATGTTCTATATGTTGATATTAAGACCAGCCAAATACAAACAGTTACCCCAAGGAGATTTTTCTTCAATTTTATACAAACAAAATACGATACGAAGAAACTTTTCCCCGACCTATTATAATTCTTCTGTACGTGTGTTTGTCACGAACTCCTCCTAAAGGGTTGAACTGATTTTGATAAAATTATTTGTGTGTATTTGAGGGGGGGCGGGGGTCTCTGAAGGGCTTCAGTTCACAATTAAACACGGTATGTAGCGCTGTTGCCGAGATCTAGAAATCATCCGAGCAATGCCAGGTGAATCTCTAGTATATATATTGTAAGAAACAATTCCACTTCTGATGTTAGAAATTATTAAATTCATTATTTTCAAAAGAATTTAAATAAAATAACACTACTCAATAACAAACCCTGCTTACTATCAAGACCCCAATTACATAATAACACCATAGTATAAAAACCAACAGCATCCACTATCCATCTCAATGTAACACAGGGTAGCCGTCTCAGCAACACTACCTTCCTTGCTTGCACTATTAGAATACCCCAACGGGCATAGTGACGAGACTCTTAGAATTATAGACTGATCCCTCTTAGTCGACTGAGCGATACTATATACTGCTAAAACAAGTGGGAGATTACAATTCCACCCTTACTTCTTCTTATTTTCTATTATTATTGTACTCTCATTATTAACAATATATATATATATATATATATATTGTTCGCGCCAAACACTGTCAAGAATCGACGCCAGATGTCACTCGGCTCGGCGCGATACCGGTTTGAAGTTCGGCCGAGCGTGGCAAGAGCGCGCGGGTCGCGAGCGAAAGAGGATGAGTCGTCTTTAAGTAGTGCTAACGATTGGCACGCTGTCATTTTGTCGAGAACTCGGAATAATTAAGCGCGGACAGTAAAAATACGGTCTAGGATTGGTGGCGCGCATCCCTACTGGAGAGCTTCCCAGGGACACATTGTGTCTGACTCAGAATCTGCATAAGTGCATTCGGCAATATTAGCTAGTGCGGCCTCTGATATTCTAGAACTAACACACTTGCAACGCGAAACGGTGGTGACCTTTGATCCAGAAACTCCGTGTGCGTTTTGTGCGTTAACCTTATACCCAGCGATAGTTAGTGGCTTCTGTAAGTTAGTTAATCGTACGATAGAGTAAATTGACTGTCATCGTGACGAACGAGGAAAGTGACTGTGGTCCGGCGCCGAAGCAGACTGAAGCGGTGCAGCATTTTGGATCAGCCTGGAACTCGGCCGCGGCTGGTCGCCTATGCTTGACAAGGCCCCACACATTCACACCTCACTGTACACTACTCGCCATCCACTATTACACACACTCACGGCCTGCCCAAGCCTTGGTGCGAAGTTAGCTTCGGATAATGGTAAGTACTATGTCTTTCTAGCGTCCATATTCTGGCCCCGTCCCTCTGCTGCTCGTCGATGGGATTACTCATGGGCCTTAATCCCGTCAGCCTTGGTTGGGGCAGCTAGGAGCGTGTACAATCTGGTAGCAGAGCGTGGTTCCGGGTTCGATTCCCCGGTCGATACCGACCATAGTGTTTGATAAAAATTAAACAAACTGGTGGCAGGGAGCGTTGGTTTGATTGGTTTAATTTGTATTTACAATCACGCCCGTCTGTAATACGTAAAAATATTTTTTTGTACGTAATAATAAAATTATTTCCCTTTGTTGTTTGTTGCTTGCCTTTTTTTTTGGTTAGTGGGTAGTTTGAAAAGCCGCGCCCTAGGTTGCGCAAGCGGAAGTTTTTCTAGAGATATACGTCATGTAGGTAGATGGTTATTTTTACGTAATCGGTTAATTATCGTTGTCGGATAGTTGTAGTGGATTACTTATCGAAGGGTCGATTTCCGAGCTAGGCATTTTTTGTTGATCGACCGTAATGTGTATCTTCGTTTATACTGTAAGGTGCGAAGTCAGCTTCGGATAATGGTAAGTACTATGTCTTTCTAGCGTCCTCCCATCTGGTTTGTAGTAATTAGGAATTTCCACGTGGCCATATTCTGGCCCCGTCCCTCTGCTGCTCGTCGATGGGCTTACTCATGGGCCCTAATCCCGTCAGCCTTGGTTGTACACACATATATATATATATATATATATATATATATATGTGTGTGCGTGTGTGCGCGTGTGTGCGCGTGTGTGTGTGTATACTCGTATTCAGTATAATTTCATGGGTTTTAATTATTATCGCTGTAACAATATTCTTTTTTTAAATTAAAATAGCCTAAGTTACTTCTTATGTCAGTGAAAGGCCCAAATTTAATTTTTTTTATTATAAGTACCGTATATACTTTCATATGCATTAACAATAAGATGTTATTATGACATTACAAACAGATTACATTAATTTTATTTATTTGTATAGATTTTAACTTGTGACATAATCGCTCCATATAATCTTGAAGAAATTGTCATAAACGCCTCAATTTTACCAACGCTGCCGCTACACTTCATGCAAGCATGTAAGTACCTATATATGTATGTATTTAAGAAGGAATTTTACAATAACCTAGTTGAGTCGACGTGATAACTGATTTTAATTCCTTGAATTTTAATATACATCTTTAAAATGAAACATGTCTTTTTATAGGATAGGGTGGCAAACGAGCACACAGCCCACCTGATGGTAAGTGGTTGTTGTGACCCATAGACATCCACATCTATCCTCAATAAAAAATCAAGATGCAGATGCGTTGTTACCCGTGAGGAATAAGATGGAATGCCTCTTTTCCAGTAAAAAGTGTCTCCGGTTCTCTACACTCACCATACGAAACACAGCAGTGTTAAGCTACTATTTTACGCTGGTATTCTGTGAGAGCGTGATCCTTCCAAGTCAAGCCGACCCATTCGTGCTACAACTATACTACTAATATATGTAGTTGCAGCATGGCTCTACTACGTAAAAAATGTTAGTAAATAGTAACTTTTAAATCAAGCTACAACCCTATTATGCCGTTCGAATAAATCTACTTTCGAATAGATCTACTCTCTTTGTAAATTAAAGCCGACAAGTTGTCGTGAAAAGTCTACCGACATTTTGACTTATCAATTTCTAAAAA